CCCCTCTTCTAACTTAGTCATCTTTGGAACAGTCATTTCCTTCATTCTTCCATCATTTGTCATTTCATTTTTCCACACACTGTTTCTCTTGGCCAGTCTGTTTGCATGTGAGTCTCTTTCATTTATCTCTACATTCAGATGAAAAAGCTTACACTTCTTTATGTTATTTAAGTTTTTCTTTGCCAAAGATTTTAACCCTACTTTTCCTTTTATTACCTTTCACCATCGCTGTCCCAGTGTCAAAGTCACCTAAAAGCACCCTACTTTGTTTAGAAAGACAGATACTGTGCTGCTTGTGTATTAAAGATCTTCATCGTTTTGATACCATAATTTTACCCTCTCCCCTTCCCGACTCCCTCGCTCAACAGGAGATCAAGAAGTTAAAAGACCTGATGAGTGCCACAGAGAAGATCCGACGGGAGAAATGGATCGATGAGAAAACCAAGAAGATCAAAGAGATCACAGTCAAAGGTAGCGCAGACAGAGGCTGGAAATCTGAGCTTACAGCAGCTTTAAAACACAAGGGAAAGAGGAAGAACGCCACCTGCTCCAGGAAGACGTTTTGTTTTTATCAACACTTTTGTTCACTTTATATCAAGAAAATAAATATTTCTGATTCAACGCTCTCAGATTCACATATCGCCTTTTACTCATTCAGATTTCATATGAGATCTGAAACACAGTTTCCTGACAAAGGTATCAGACGGTGTCATGGGATTTATTTCCATTTAGTCCGTTTTATTGATGTAGCACCAAATCACAACAACAGTCGCCTCAAAGCTCTTAATAATGAAGGTAATTATTAAGAGAAACCACAACCATCAGATGACCCTTACATGACCAAGCACTTTGGCAACAGTGGGAAGGAAAAAATCCCTTTTCAACTTACCGGTTGAGGCTGACAGGAGGAAGACAAGACGAACAGCATGTGTGGATATATTCATATATGTAAAAGCTCTGTTTTGGTTTAGTCTTAACAGGCCTTCAGCTTTTCCTCTGTGCTGATAAAGTCTCAGACTTTTCACGTCCCTGAACTTTGCAGGTTGATGTTTCTACGCACTTCAGAGATTCCTCCTGCTTAGCACCTGTTAGATCACAGGTGCACAATATGACAGCAAAAACATGAGCAAACAGTGTAGTGAAAGCAGCACTTTGATAAATAATCTCAATGCAAACGAATGCAATCAGTCTGTTATGCTGTTTAACAAGATACCAACAGAGGGCGCTCCACTTTGAACCTGAAGGCCACAGTCAGCCTCAAAACTGGTAGAAACTATTTGAGTTAATTCATGTTCTGGTTTTGATTTGAGTCTGGGAATATAATTATTTTCTCTTTATTTATTTAGAGAAGTGTGGTAAATATTAGCTTGTAATGCCTTTTATCTATATTTGTAATATAACAAGTCTTTTTCACCGTTGAGCTCTGCAGTGGTTCATGTCGGACAATTAGCTTTATGGAGGCTAATTAAAAAGGTAATACTGATTTAAGTAGATCGTTTAATGTCAAGGAACCTCAGAGTGCACGAAAGTGGACTTACAGTTGACCAAAAACACGTCTTCTAATAAAGATGTCTTGCTCTTTGCCAGTAGTCTCACACAGCCTCTGGTAAAATGATCTGCTGTCTGCTGGGTCCAAGGTGTGGCCTTTCATTTACTTAGTCATAGTCATAGCTGTGTTATGTGCTTGACAGTTACCAGACTGATGCTGGTAAATAAACGAAGTAGTGCAAACACAGCAGTTAGTCTGTGTGTAGCTTAGATTATGAACCGTGCTGTTCCTCTGCTCGGTCTGCTGTGGGCCGCTTCCACGAAACGTCACAGAGCTGATGAGGAGTTTGTGGCAGGCCCGAGGATGTAGAACTGTATTTCTGTATTTCTGAACTGTAGAGAGGCATTTCTCTCCTGCGTTTGCTTCTACTTCACTAACACGTTCGCGTTTTTGATTAAAGAATATTAAAAGTTTGTCCTGTGAGCTTTAAACATCGTGCAGACCCCGTCCATCTAAAGCTCGAACATTTTTTCTTCCTCCTCTCAGGCCTCGAGCCCGAGATCCAGAAGCTGATCTCTAAACACAAACAGGAGCTGAAGAAGCTGCGGACGCTCCACGAGGCGGAGCTGCTGCAGGCGGACGACCGGGCCGCCCAGCGCTACGTCCGGCAGTGCGAGGACCTCCGTCAGCAGCTGGAGAAGGAGAAGGAGGAGCAGTGCCAGAGAGAGCGGGAGCTAGCCAAACAGAGGTGGGCATGTCACAGTAAGAGATGCAACAGAAACAGCTAGCATCAGCATCAAACTGTCTTGGAATCAGTTTTCAAGACTGCATGAATTTCCAGCACACAATGTTTTATAAACTTTTAGATCAGGCATTTATGGGGGTGACACTCAGTGTGACATTCAAACCTTGGATTAGAGAAGATCTGAGGCACAAAAACAAAAAAACATCCAAAATGCTCTTTTCTTCTTGTGCTTGTGCTACAATCAGCTGACTAACACGTGTTCTATATTTTGATACATTTGACCCCATTTTTAAAAAAAAAATAAGGTAAAACCTTCTTTAGCTTCAGTCCTCGTGATTTCCTTTTGGTGAAAGGACAAAACCTCTTTCATGGCTCCGGTGCTTTTATATGCAGGAAAGCGCTGCTAATGCAACAGCATCATTAAGGCATTAATACTTCCACTAATCCTTTCCTGTTTTTATAGTTTTAAATGGATTAATGAGATACATTAGCTAATCTAATATCTCAATGCTGCAAAAAAAGCCCTCAGGCAGCCCTTTGCTCATGCAGGGAGTCAGTGCTGGAAGTCCTGAAGATGATGGAAAATACAAACTTGGAACAATGAGCTTTCATTTGGTACAAAAATGAGACTTTTGTTTCCATTTTACATGAATTAAATATTAAAATAAACTCAGACATTCAGATCAGTGTGCTTACATTAAAAAAGGTGATTTTTATTTACTTACGCAGGTTTTAAATTTAAAGTGAAGTCCAGCTGACGTGAAGATGACCTTCCATCATTAAAGTTTACTCTGCATGTTGCTGATGAATAATTTTAGAGGTGTTCACATGGTTCAGATGAGAGACAATAATGGATTGGATTTATA